CCAAATGCTATGGGTGTGGTGAAATTGGACACATCAAACCAATGTGCCCAAAGCTCAAGAACGAGAAGGACAAGAAGGCACCGAAGAAGCAGCGTGCCTACATTTCTTGGGAGAACGACGGCTCCGGGAGTGAAGACTCGGAAACGGAAGAAGTGGCCAACTTGTGTCTCATGGCCATTGAAGATGGTGATACATCAAAAGAGGTAAGTGATCAAGAACCTTCTCCCAATGATCCTTTAACTCTTAAAGATGTTGTTTGCATTGTAGAAGATTTGGTAAGAATGTTCAAAAAGGCTTCCAAAGAAAACAATGAAGTAAAGCAAAAAATCCTGATTTTTGAGAATGAAATCAAAGAACTCAAAAATATAAATGATAAACTTAAACAAGAAATTATCTCTTTTGAAAAAAGGCCACAATAACCTTCAACTACTTCTTCTTCTACATGCTCTAGTTGTACATCATTAAAAGCTAAGGTTGCTAGTTTAGAGAGCAAATTGGGAAAGTTCAATAATGCTTCAAACACCTTAGATAAAATACTTAAGCAAAAAATTAGTAATGGTGAAGGACTTGGATATAAGAAAAACCAACCTAGAAAAACAACATTTGTTAAAGCTAGGGGGAATAAAAATGCTAGGATTAATAATCAAACTAGAAAAGCACATCCTAGCAAACCTAGAACTCCATACACTCAACCATATAGGATGAATAATCCAAATGTTATTTGCCACTATTGCAATAAGATAGGTCACATTGCACCCGTGTCCTTCACCAAAATTAGGCATTTTCAATAAACGCACACACATCGCACATATGCTAACCAAAAAGGACCCAACAATACATGGGTACCTAAACCGTCTCCTTGATATCTTTTTGTAGGTGTGCTTGAAGGCTTCGAGTACCTCTTGGTATCTCGATAGCGGATGCTCCAAGCACATGACCGGAGACGCATCCAAATTTAGGAGTTTAGAGTATTTCAAAGGTGGCAATGTCGTTTTTGGTGACAACAACAAAGGAAGAATCATTGGAAGTGGCACCGTCGGAAAGGACAATGCTACAACCGTTGAGAACGTTCTTCTTGTTGAGGGCCTCAAGCACAATCTTCTTAGCATTAGCCAATTGTGCGATAGAGGTAAC